TGCCACACTTCAGCGCCAGTACTAGGGGTGCAGTTTTCCCCAGCATTAGAGTACAATATTTATCTGGCAACAATTCTCATCTCAGAGTAACAACAAGAACTATGAACGGGAGGGAGGGGGAGGGGAGAGGGGAGAAGGGAAGGAGGGAGCAGGAAGGAAGGGAGGGAGGGAGGGAGGGAGGGAGGAGGGATTTAGCTCGATCTACAAGCTGTATACATTTTCTCTCTTTATAATAGTTCAACATACCGTATATATATATCATAAACATTTACATAAGTACTATGAGAGTCTGTAGCTAAATAATTACAGCAAAAATAACTATAGAAGGAGAAGAAAAGAGCATTGTACTAAAAAGCACTCACGACGCAGAAAAAAGGAACACCTGTACATTCACTCCGTCGAAAGAGAGATAAAAGGCGTTTTTTGTGTGTGCGTTTCCCAGCACACGCACACGCACACGCACACACACACACACACACACACACACACACACACACACACACACACACACACACAGAGTCACCTGGGAAGCCAAAGCGGACGCAGGAGCAGCGCGTCACACCGACCACACGTGACGTAAAACGAGTCAAGTCAAAGCACTGCCACAAACCGTAACGGAGCGGCGGAAACGGGAGAAAAAAATAGATATAAGTTGATTTTATTTATTTATGTTTTTTTTTCTTGGTATCTGGAGCATTTATGGGGATATTCTTGCGTTCTTAATGGTAAGCTATTTAATGCAGTTTCCTAGCTACGTGTCTAAACGACTGAACCCAAAAACGATCTTTTTATCACTGATTTTTAAGAACATTGTTTGTTTTCCGGATTTCACTTGTCCCTTAATCAATTTGAAAACCTGTATTAACAACACGTTTTTACCTCTATAATAATATAGTTATCTTTTTTTCTATTCATTCATTACAGATATACTCTTATCGCCGGCCCAGGCATCAACATTCCCTCCATGACACAAAATACACAGTACTTCTCACAGGCTATGAACTCTCGATTCGAATAATTCATTATATTCTGGGAGCGATATGCACTTTATTTATTTAACGATAGGATAAAAAAAACATGCCTAAGAAAAGTTATTTTAAACATTACGTATCCCTGAAATCAGACTCATCTACGGTTATTAAAAGGGATGATATGTAGAAGCTAAGTCATTACGAATCTACGGAAGTACACTTTGACATTATACGCGGAGATAGAAAAAAAACAACATAAAACAAAAACAAAATAAATGCAAACGGAGAAACCTTTACGCTAATAATTGCATTTGACGGTTTTATCTATCCTCTAGTTTGCTCTACTGTCGATGTGAAATCCCCTTTTTATGGTGTTGCCAATGCGGCGATTATTTCTTTGTCCTCTACCCCTCTAAAAAACAAACGGGTTCTCTTTTAACCTCCATGGAAGCAGCGATGGGTTTTTAAAACGTTGGTGATGCCGGGGAGCGAGAGAATTAGCGGGCGTGTCACGAGCAATTGTTGACCTGGTCCACTCGTTGAGGCTCGGCCCGCGCGCTTGTCATTATCGTCACGTTCTCTTCCTCTCCTTTTCTCTCTCTTTCTCTCTCTCTTTCGGTTTCCCTTTTTCTTCCTCTTCTAGCTTTTCTTCTTCTTCTCTCTCTCTCTCTCTCTCTCTCTCTCTCTCTCTCTCTCTCTCTCTCTCCCCCGCGTTCCCCCTCCCCTCTCTCGTTTCTCTCTCTCTCTCTTTACTTCTCACTCCCCATACATGTCCTGTATGTCACAGTGACAAGCGATGTTGATATAGTGAAATTGTAGGTTCTACAAGTACATTTAAAATCGAAAAATAAAAATAACCGTCTTATGGTATGTTGTTCAGATTTTATGATACCACAATTATTAATAAACAAATCATTTATTAGTCAGATGACTAACTATGCATTTTACGATTCATTCTCAACTTCATCTCTTTAAATCTGATAATATGAAGATATCACAACTGCATTATATATATATATATATATATATATATATATATATATATATATATATATATATATATATATATATATATTATATATATATATATATATATATATATATAATATATATATACGTATATATATATATATATATATATATATATATATATATATATATATATATATATATATATATATATATATATATATATATGTATATATATATATATATATATATATATATATATATATATATATATATATATATATATACATATATATATATATATATACATATATATATATTTCATATACATATATCTTTTAATCCAAAGCTGTCTCAATTTTGGCTGAATCCTTCTTCTCCTCTTTCTTTGTTGTTTCACGCCTCTACAAATGCACAGGCAAGAGCGACGTTGGCTTCATTGAAAAAAGTAGTGTTCATAGTCTTTCACATCCTCCTCCTGTTCCTCTAACTTCACTCCCTCCTCCTCCTCCTCCTCTTCCTCCATCTTCCTCCCTCTCAAACTCGCCCGGAAGAGCACTAGGGCATCCCCATCCTGACGACGAAGAAGGCGAAGAGCGAGGCGACGGTAGCAACGTGGGCGTGGGCGGCGAGAGAGGGCGGGGCGGAGGAGCCGGCGCGTTGGCAGACCTGACTTCCGGGGGCGTAGTTGAGACACTTGAACTGCCGGCAGAGGAAGAGGGTTAGTGCACAGGCGAGAGATACGGGAGATGAGATGCGTTTAATTACTGATGGAATGATGTAATAAGATAAAAGGTAAAAAGGGATTTGATTTGAATTGAGGCAATCTTTCATCTTTCCTATGGTGTGATGTAAGTGGGACTTGAGACTAAAAATCAATATTTGAGAATAAAATAATACTCGGGAAACGAAGAATAGTGAAATATCAGTGAAATATTTGAACATATTATGTATCAAAATGATGTAAAACAAAAATGATGTAAATGATGTAAAAATCAACAACAAAAAACAAAACAATTCTATGAAAGCCTTTAAATTTCATAAAACAAAACAGAGGTTGATTTTTATAAAGCATTAATATTGCTTTAATATTGTTACGAATATTTTATGTTAATTGATGCATATGACACTAGTGACATGTATGGTGAACATGGCATTCATTATAATTCCTCCCTGAAAGGGGAAAGGTAACTCATTACACAGGTAAGTCATGCAAATCATGCAACACTTAAGAAAGATCACAAAAAACATGCTTCACTTTAATGGGATTACTTATCATCCAACAGCCAAGACGTTGAAAGTATCTCACTTAGAACTCAAGACTGCAGAACAAAATCCAGGAATAAACATGATTGTGTCGTTTCTAGAAACACAAACACAACACGATTCCTCCATCCCTTTCATGGCGCATTGTCTCCAAAGACAAAAAAAAAAAAAATAAAAATAAAAATAAAAAATAAAATAAAAAATTCAAAAATAAAAAGCTCAGTCCTTGGTCTCCATGCCACTCCGAGAACCCCCCCCCCCCCATGGGCCCCGGGAGGTTCTTAAGCCACTCTCGGGAGAACCTGAAGACTCGTCGAGGCGGAGGGGCATCCGAGTCTCCCTCTAGCAGGTCGAGGAGGCCAGAGGTTGAGCAGAGACAACAGCGGGAGAGGTTGTGTTGTCTAGCAGGCACGGCAGCAGGATCGGGAGCAGGGGATATATATTTTTTTTTTTTTTTTTTTTTTGGTTGGTTTTAAGCAGAGCAAAACAGCAGAACTACCAGCAGGTGGTTGTCGCAACGGCAGGATCACGCACACGCGCTTTTACCTCGGCCACGGAGTCCCTGGGTCCTGTCGCAAAGGAAGGACGGCCTTGCAGCGCCCCGACTCCCTCGCAGGCTGTTAGCTATGTCCTCTTTCGCCTCTTCTTCCTTCCTCCCTCTTTTTTCCAAACGCTTTCTTATCAAATCTTCTCACCTTCTTTCATTCTTCGAGTCTTCCTTCTTTTCCTCCTCTCTTTAATCTTTTCCTACCTTCCCTTCCTTCCTTCCTTCCCACTTCCTCCACCTCCTCCCATTCCTTCCCAGTTCACATCACTCTTCGCATTCCACGTCCCCTTCACCCCCTGCTGAAGGCTCTCCCTAAACACATTGTAATGCGTGGCTTTGGTGTTGCCTTGGCCTCGTATCATTCATGAGGCTTATCAGAATGACAATTCCGGTGCATAAAAGCTTTCGAGTTAATATGCAACATCTGCATAATCAATTATTCATCTCACGTCAAAAACGGCAAACATATACAGATCATTTTAAATTCATTTGCTGAAGCATTTTTACATCTTTCAAGAAGTGAAGAGTCGAGGGAATGCACACGTGTAGGTAATTGTGTGTGTGTGTGTGTGTGTGTGTGTGTGTGTGTGTGTGTGTATGTGTGTGTGAGTAAGTGAGTGAGTGAGTGAGTGTGCGTGTACGTGTGAATGTACTTTTACATATATATGTACATCTAGTCGTGCGTAGGAATTTGTATGAATATATATAATGTATCTTAACATGCGCTTATAAATACAATCACTACATGAATGTGCATGAGTACAATGCTTCCACATCCTCATTCCTCATCATTCCTCATTCCTCCCCGACGCCGTGGAAATGTTCTAGAAGAATAGTGAAGGCGACCAGCACGACCCCAGCCACGTGTGTGCGGCAACCAGGTGACGCGGACGACCCAATAAACGACACTTCTATGTAGTCGTCGAAAAGGTCGGTGGCAGTCGCGGTTTCGTTGCCCGAGCCTTCCTTCGGGGCGGGGCTAGTTGTGACGTCATCTGCCTTTGAGACAGTGCTAGTTGTGACGTCATCTGTTTTTGAAGTGCTAGTTGTGAAGTCATCTGTTTTTGAAGTGGTGCTTGTTGTGACGTCATCTGCTTTTGAAGTGGTTGTAACGTCATCTGCTTTTGATGTGCTAGTTGTGACGTCATCTGCTTCTGAAGTGGTGCTAGTTGTGACGTCATATGTTTTAGAAGTGGTGCTTCTTGTGACGTCATCTGTTTTAGAAGTGTTGCTTCTTGTGACGTCATCTATTTTTGAAGTGGTGCTAATTGTGACGTCATCTGTTTTTGAAGTGGTGCTAGTTGTGACGTCATCTGCTTTTGATGTGCTAGTCGTGACGTCATCTGCTTTTGATGTGCTAGTTGTGACGTCATCTGCTTTTGATGTGCTAGTTGTGACGTCATCTGCTTTTGATGTGATAGTTGTGACGTCATCTGCTTTCGAAGTGGTGCTAGTTGTGACGTCATCTGCTTTTGAAGTGGTGCTAATTGTAGCGTGACGTCATCTGCTTTTGATGTGCTAGTTGTGACGTCATCTGCTTTTGATGTGATAGTTGTGACGTCATCTGCTTTTGAAGTGGTGCTAGTTGTGACGTCATCTGTTTTAGAAGTGGTGCTAGTTGTGACGTTATCTGCTTTTGAAGGGGTGCTAGTTATGACGTCATCTGCTTTTGAAGTGGTGCTAGTTGTAGCGTCATCTGTTTTTGAAGTGGTGTTAGTTGTGACGTCATCTGCTTTTGAAGTGGTGCTAGTTGTGACGTCATCCGCCGTTGAGACGGTGCTAGTTGTGATGTTATCTGCCTTAGAAACTGTACTAGCTGTGATATTATCAGATTTTAAAGTGCTGCCAATTGTGACACCATCTCCCCCTGAAGTACTGCTAGTTGTGACGTCATAACGTGTGGTACCCCTATGCGAGGGTGTGTACACTACTGTCGTCCCTCCGGCAGGTCCTGCAGTCGAGCTTCTCTCCTCTTCCGTGGAAGGTCCCTCTCCTCCACCCGTCCCTGTACCATCCTCGACCTTGGTGAGATGGTATCCTGTGTCCTCTATGTCACTGTAGGAATCCGGTTTCGCGGCGGGGAAGAAAATATCTGAGTCAAAAATGTCCATGACGACGGGGGTGAAATTCCGCCTCGTGTAGGTCTTGGCCTCGTGTGTCCGCCGAAGCTGGACCACGTACGGGACGGGCGTGGGGGCAGGAATCACGGCCTCAGCCACCTCCTCCAGGATGCGGTGACGTAGCCACCAGTTGAAGACCTCTGGTGGTAGCTCAAGGTCCTCCTCCACCGCGTCCACATAGTCGTATCCATCAGGGTATTCCTCATAATCATTCTTTGTCGCGTCGTAATAATAGTCATCGATCGGGTCGCTGCCACTTGGTTGTGAAGTGTGAGGTTCTTCTGAAGTGGGCCTCTTAGCAGAACTTTTTCCGTTATCTTGAGAGGGAACGTAATCCTCCAGACCATCCTCTTCGTAGTAATAGTCATAGTCAGCATAATCGCCTGTGGGGACTGTATGGCCTACTGAAGGAGTGGTTTGTGTTGTCCCTTTAGAAGAGGACTGGGTTGTACTACTTGAGGTGGAAGTCTCTGGCGACCCTTCTGTTTGTATTGTTGTTTCAAACCTGGTAGTCTTTGTTGGCCAGGCATATGTTGAGCTCTGTGTTGTTCCTGCAGTGGAAGGTCGTGTCGTCCTATCGGAGAAATGCGTCGGTGCCGTTCCTTTGGGGGTATTAGTTTGCGTCACTTCTTCGGAAATTTTAGTTTGTGTTGTTCTTTCAAATGGAGACGTTTCTGTTGCTCTCTCAGGTTCAGTGGTTAGCGTCGTTCCATCAAGCACAATAGTTGTTCCTCCAGAGGTAGTAGTTTCTGTAGATGTAGTATTTCCTGCTGTTCCCTCAGATGTAGCTGTTTGTGTAGTACCTCCAGAAATGGTAGTTTGCATCGTTCCCCCTAGAGTAGAGGTTTTCGCTGTTCCTGCGGATGTTGTCGTCATTCCAAAGGAAGTGTCGACTTTCGTAATTTCCTCTGAGGCAACTACTTCTGTCTGAGGGGTTGTTCCTTTGTTGGTCGTAGTCTGCGTAGTCTGAGTTGTTCTAGTAGATGTAATTGTGCCTGGTGTGGAGATTTTTGTTATTCCTGTAGAGGTAGTAGTATGCGAAATTCCCACAGTAGTGGTATCTGGAATCTGCGTCCGTCCTGGTGTTCTATCTATCACTCCTTTGAGGCTCGTGACACTGGTAGAATGACCTGTTTCCGTAGTCACTTGCTCAGGGGTTAGACCTTTCTGGGTGGACTGATCTTGCCCTGTATCTTCCTCAAGCACAGTCCCAGACCAGACGGTACCCGCTGGTTTGCGTGGCCCCTGGGATTCCCTCTGACCAGGCAAACGACTTCTTCCTCCACCTGGTCGTCTGGGCCCACCAGGTCGCCGTGCCTCACCTGGCCGACGGATCCTCGGCCTCCTATAGACCGGTCTCCGCCTCCGTCCTGGAATTTGTCCTGTACTATTATTATACTTGATTCTCCTTCGCCGTCCCAGGCGGGTGTTTGTCAAAGTTGGATGACTGCCATTTCTGTCCAAAGCCCCTTTCTCTTCGCCAGGTGAGCCTGCCTCGTCTGTCGTCCCGGGTCTTCTGAGGATGGGTCTCCTCACAGGCCATCTTCTGCCTCCATTTGTCGTATTTTGTCCTGGTCTTGGTCTTCGCCTGCGAAGCGGCCGTCGCCGTCTGGTCTGCTGCCCGCCGCCCGCTTCCGAGTCCGGGCGCCGAGCACCCCTGCCCGGGAATCGCCGGCGAAATGCGCCCCTGAAGCGAATGGGGATTTTTATTCGAGGCGGACGCGCTGAAATCGAAGCGTTGCTTCCAGGGGGGGTAGCGCTAGCAGCCGCGCCTCCATTCGTGGCTCCTGCAGGCTCAGCCCTTGGTGTCCGCGTCTGGAGACTGGAGGAGGTGGCCTCTGGCGTCTGGTCGCGAAGTGTTATGGCTTGTGTTGTGGGGCGAAAGTCGGGATATGTTGAGAATGCGGCAGAAGGAGAACTAGTAAGAGTTGAAGCAGAGAGAGCCGAGTCTACGTCTGAAGCGTTTGTGGAGGCTGCTGGTAGGACAGAGCGCAACGGGGTGTCAGAGTGCCCGCTTGGCTGAGAGGGAGAGGGAGAGGGGGAGGGGGGAGCAGCGAAAGGAGGAGCGAGAGTTAGGTCGTGCAGGAGCTTTCGGCTGGGCGCGCCGTCTTGACTATCGAGTTTCATTCGGTTGGAGGGAGAGCCATGCGCGCGCCGCCTCACGCGGGGCCCGAGGGCGCCCGACATGAAGCTCAGCAGGTCCAGCAGGCGCGTCTCCTGCCCCGAGATTTCATGCAACCCGACGCGAGAGCCGCCGCGCTGCCTGGCCGGCGGGACCGCAAGCCTACTGCTGGTAGAAGACTGTACCGTGGAAGAGGAGGCAGGGGAGGCCGCCTCGCCCTCCCCCTCCTGCTGGGCATCCCTCGCCTCCGGCGCGGGGGGATCTTCCTGACGAAGCGGGTCTCGGCCCTCCTCAGTCTGAGGGCGACCCTGGAGTGCGCCCTCGCCCGCACTCCGCGAGGGCGATACACGAGAGTGGACCCTCGGTGCGGAATCGAGTGTCGTGGGCGTGTGGGCGTGTGAGCGTGGAGGGGAGGGGGCGGGCGGAGGCTCCCCCTCCCCCCCGTCCGCCCCGAGCACTTGCACCTGCCCTTCGGAATCCCCGGCCAAAGCCTGCGTGCTGTTGTCAGCCTGGCGGGGCCGCTGGGCCGCCTGTGGCTCCCCGGCCGCCGATCCCCGGGAATCAGCGCCTGATCCCCCGCCGGCGCCCGCAGAGCCCCCGCGAGTGCCTGCAGATCCCCGCGCAGAGTGAGTGCCAGGCCGGGCGGCGGGGGCTTCCGGGCACGAGGACGCGCGAAAGGAAAACGCTTGGCAAATGTCCTGCAACACAAGATAAGGAGTCACGTGGGCCTCCCGCCGGGCCGCGGGGCGCCCACAGAGTCGTCGGGGAACCAATGGACGCTGACTAATGCGTGCGAGTGTGGTGAGTATATACATACATGCGTATATCTATATATACATACATACGTACACACACATATATATACACACATGTATATGTATACATATACATACATATATGTGTGTGTGTGTGTGTGTGTGTGTGTGTGTGTGTGTGTGTATGTGTGTGTGTGTGTGTGTGTGTGTGTGTGTGTGTGTGTATGTGTGTATGTGTATGTGTGTATGTGTGTATGTGTGTATGTGTGTATGTGTATATGTATGAGTGTGAGTGTGAGTGTGAGTGTGTGTGTGTGATATATATACATATATATATATATATATATATATATATATATATATATATATATATATATATACATATATATATACATATATATATAAGCACATATATATACATACACACATTACACGAACAACAAACATATTTTACAACTGAGAAAACTAATAAACAAATTTTAAAAGAAGCTTTACGCACAGCTGGTCAGTCGCCGGTGTGGACAGAAGCGAATACGACTAACGAAGAAAGGAATAATGAAATAGAAAAGAAAAAAGGAGGGGAAGTGAGGTCGGAATAAGAGGCAGAAGGAAGAGGAAAAGGGGAGAAATAATAAAAATATTGAAGAAGAAGAAGGAGAAAAAGGAGAAGAAGATGAAGAGGAAGGAGAAGAAGAAGGGGAATGAGAAATAGAAAGAGAACTAGAAGAAGAAGAAGAAGAAGAAGAAGAAGTAGTAGTAGAAGAAGAAAAATAAGAGGAAGAAAAAGAAGACAAAGAATAATGATAAGAAGAAAAACAAAAAGAGAAAGAGATGAAACACAGGAAGAAGAAAGAAAAGAAAAGATAGGAAAAGAAAAAAAATAATAATCAAGAAGAGAAAGAGAAAGAGAACCAGAAGAAGAAGAAGAAGAAGAAGAAAAAGAAGAATAAAAAAAAAAGACACAAACATACACAGTCTATTCCATTCTACTTCGAATGAAATAGAAGAAAAACTTGGGCGCCATAAGCAAGCAGTGTTACCAACGAGGACGACTTACCTTGCTATCCTGCATGAGTTTTTTTGTAGTTTTTTTTTTTGAGTGCGGGGGGCAAGAGAGGGGGAAGCAGGAAAAAAAAAACGAGTAGGGAAATTCTGGATTAGTTTGTGAAAAAAAAACACAGTAAAATGGCGACACTGGATTCACCGTAGTGACGTAACGGTGACTTAAATTAAACATGTTAATTCGGCTAGTTCGTTTTGGCAGCGGTGATGGGGGGGGGGGGGGGAGAGAAGGAGGGAAGTGGAGAGGAGAGAAGGGGAGGGAAATAGAAGGAGAGGGGAGAAAGGAGGGAAGTTGGAGAGGAGAGAATGGGAGGGGGGGAGAGGGAGAGAGAGGGGGGAGGAGGAGAGGGAGAGGGGGAGAGAGAGGGAGAGGGAGAAGGAGGGAGGGAGGGGAGGGGAGGGAGGGAGGGAGGGAGGGAGGGAGGGAGAGAGAGAGAGAGAGAGGGGAGTGAGAGAGAGGGGGGGGGAGTGAGAGAGAGGGGGGGGGAGAGGGGAGAGAGAGAGGGGGAGTGAGGAGAGAGAGAGAGAGAGGGAGAGAGAGAGAGAGAGAGAGAGAAGAGAGAGAGAGAGAGAGAGAGAGAGGGGGGGGGGAGGAGAAAGGAGTGAGGAGAGAGGAGAGAGAGCGGGAGGTGGACAGGAGGGAGAGGGAGGGAGAGTGGAGA